GTGTGTGTGTGTGTGTGTGTATACACACACACACACACACACTCCATCCCTGGCTGCTTCGGTCCCTTCATGTACACACACACACACACACACACAGCCCCCGTTCTAAAGCAGGCCGCTCCCCATAAGCCGCGCCGCGGCCGAGACGCCTGGAGTGGCGGTGTGTAGCAGATAGTGTAGTGTGCACTATTTCCGGAAATATGCACTTGTGGCTTCATAAGAGTGACACTCTCCCCGTGCCGATGGAGCATCTCCCTTTATCCCAGCATCTGCAAATAAACCCCGCGATCTCCCCGCCACGCACGCGGGCCGGGGCTATCTTGCAAAGGAAACAATCTAGTTTTTATTGCTTTCCTCCCCTCCCCGCCCCTTGAAGACTTCGATTTTTAGGCACTGTTATTACTAAAGCATCACCGCAAACCACCGGGAGCGGGGGTCCCCTAAGGAAGGAGGGGAATGAACTATCCAGCCCTGAATCTCATTGTAATGGCACTTTGTAACCACAAGGGGTCATCAAAGTTCTTCCTTTCTTGCCACTGGGTTTTTTTCCCTCCCCCGCTCTGAACTGTCCTTATGATAAATGGTTTTATTTCCCATTGAAAATCATCTCCAGTCCCGAGAGGTGGGTTTTTGTTTTGTTTTAACAACCTTAAAAAAAATCTCACAGCCAAAAAAAAAAACTTGAGAGAGAGAAGTTAAAAGGCACCAGCCTGATCGTCTGAAGCCACTTGCTCCCTAAATTGTGTTCAAACCCGAGTGGCCAAGCATAAATCAACCCCCCCCCAACAAATGAAGACTCCAGTTTATTCCATTTGCTGTATTTCCCCCCCCCCTTTAAAAAACCCCTCAGTTTGTTAATGGAAGAATCTGACCAACTGTGTGAGTTTATAAACGCGAGTGCTGGTTTTAAAGTGTGACTCTAGTTTCAGATTCTGTTGGCTGAGTAGCAGCTAGATTTTAAAACCAGACACACAGCTACTGTGTCTATGGGAGATTTTACTGTATTCCTCCATGTGCAATGTGTGTGTGCCCACTGTATGTTTATTTTATATATAAATATTAGAGGTGTAAATAAAAAAACACACAATCCTCAGTAGATTTCTTTATCTTGTATTTTTTTTCCATTCTCATTCTCTCTCTCTGTGTATATATATGTACATACAGACACACACATTTGTGGTTGTGTGTGTGTACATACCTCTAGTATGCATATATGGCTGGCTGGCTTGCACACACATGTAGCACAGACGAATATCAGAGGCTTATAAACCATATGCTTGATTCTGATCGATACTAAATGCCACCAGAAGAAAGAACAGGAATACTTGTGGCACCTTAGAGACTAACAGATTTATTAGTCTCTAAGGTGCCACAAGTACTCCTGTTCTTTTTGCGGATACAGACTAACACGGCTGCTACTCTGAAACCAGAAGAAAGTGACTGGTCAAAAAGTGCATCGTGCAATATACTTATGGACCTATGGGAATGCAAACACTATCGCTTTAAAGTTGCAACTGACCTGATGGGGGATGAGGGGCGGACAGAGGGGCTAGGAGGAGCTCCGGCCCACAAACAGGTAGGGTGTGGTGTAGGGAAAGAAGACACAGGGTAAAACTGAGGCAAGCAAAGATTGCCGAGGTCGGCAAAGAACAGAGTGGAGGTCCAGGAGAAGACTTTTTAACTCGAAATCACATTCTGGGCCCGGAATGAAAGCTGTTTCGGGATCCCACCGGGTTGGTTTTTGGTTGCCATCATAAACCCCCCTCGCTTTGAGATCAGAGCTCATGCCGCCACTAGAAAATGGCCAGCCTCTTTTTTACTTACAGATTGCCCCTTGTGTCCAACTCAAAACACAACACAAAATGGGTGGAAGACAACCGGTTCCGTGATCTACTATTATGAAGTCATCTTTAGTCAGCAGCCTACAAAAGGGAAGAAGTAAACGACTGGTAACATTACAGCTGGAAGTTATAAAGCAAGACACGAATTCTTCCTTCTAGGAAAGCCAGTGCTAGGACAACTCATTTTTGTGTTTGAAAAAAAAGGTCAAGTTTCCATTCATTATATGAC